GTCAGTGCAGCGTTGTTTTCATTCACCATTTTATTCTTTCAGCACTTTTTAGACTTCTTTTTTCTGTCTCGTTCTTTTACGTCATATATACCGCAATGTTTGCACACGCATATCTTGTACTAGAAGAGATATCTCCAATTTTGCTAGATGCCTATTATTTAATGAATGTGAGTGAAAGTAGTGAACAGCAAATAGGATTATTTATTTCGTCTCGTTCCGTAGTCAGATCGTAGCCATATTTAGGAAGAAAAGAGACGACGTCTACGTCTCACGAAATGTGTGAATGATAGTTAAGTGATTTCTTACGAACGACTTGTCCAAGCGTGACGCTGTGACATTTTTAATACAGTAATTTAAGCTTTACTCTAAAACTGTAAGAGCTAGAAACTTCGTTCTTGCGCCGTTCGACACACGTTGCCACACTCTAAAATAGAGACTTTTGGTATAAAAATGAAGATATGCAGCTAAAGACTCGAATTTTTAGAACCGGTTTTCGACGCGCGACGCTGTGAAAGAAAAAGGCCCTAAATTCGAAGTTCTTCGCATTAAGAGCTAGTTTGCTGCGAATTTAGAAGAGCTAATAAAAAGCGTCTTGTGAATCCGACAGCGGGTTCCTTATAATTACATCTTCACTTCTTTTTGGCGTCGACATAATCAACGCGGTTTTTGCCTAAATTTTATTTTTCTCATTGGTGCATTTTTTTAAACCAATGAGAAAAATATAATTTAGGCAAAAACCGCGTTGATTTGACACCAAAAAAGAAGTGAAAATGTAATTATAAGGAACCCGCTGTCGGATTCACCGACAAATTTTGCATTTGGCGCTCAATTTTTATCCAAGTTGGTTCAGCGCGGAGCAAGCATCAAATTTTCTAATGCTTATTGTTATAAAACTAACTCGAGTATTTCTTCTTCACTTTTAGAATTTATGGAATTGTCAATTCTTAATATTCCTTATTATTTTATGTTTATCATCTGTTCTCTCACTTGAAAACGTGTGATTTTGACGTCCAAGGTAAGAATCATTTATGTTTTATCTACAGTTATTATTCATCGGATGGTAGTTTTTGAAACGTTTAACTTTAATTTAAACGAATCAAAGGGAGAATGAAGGAAAGACACGAAACTCACTGTGACAAACAGGTAGCCTTCAAACTCGATCGCATTATGGTTAAGTTTTAATCCAAAGGAAAGAAAGAAGCTGATTTGTCTTTATTTATATCAGTAAAAACGTGCTGATGCTGCTACTTACTATTTTGTTTTATTATTTAATTTTCTCTTTATAGATAGTTAGTTCGTTTGTATCCTCTGCTGACTGAACAGCCAACAACATTTTCTTCGAAACGATAAATGAAAACTACACTCGTTTATTCATTATCCACATTATTATTTGCTATATTAATACTATTGTTATGGAATTATGCAATAATAACAGTGGGAAGAGATGGTGATAAAACAATATTACAAAATCGACAACGAGCAAAATTAGTACATGAGAATGATCCAAATTCACCTTACAGAGCGTTAGAAGTATTAGATGAACTGAAGAGGTACCTAAATACTGTTTACGCTTTGCGAGGCTTGAAAATGTGATGTGGAGCAAAAGTACTGTCTAGTAGTTCAGATTTCACACGGCTATTAAAGAGAGGCAATCAATGATCGGTGGATGAATTACCCTGAAAGATTTTCTCTAATCAGCCGCCATTAGTTTTCTGAAAGCAATGGATTCCAAACTTTCTTTTTTCAATCGAGCTATAAAGGATACGAAGTATATAGTAAAACTCAATTCATCCACAAACACAGAGAGGTTATTCGTTTGCTCAACGTTTTTTCTCCGAATAGCACTTGTATATGAAAAACCCGTAATTCTACTACCGGAGTGTCTGTACATTACCGTTTTTTCTCTTTTTGTCTATCCGTAAGAAATATCGTAAAATCCTGGAAAGCGTCTTATTTTGTAGAATGAAGTGTGCTCTTCAAAATTCACTACTGGCTCAATTCGAAACAATTGACGCTTTTTACGCTATTGTTAAACTACGAAAAGCCCCCGAAACACTTTCATTTGTTCTTACGGCTTTTAGTATTTTGATCATGGCCGAAAAGTTGTCAACTATTTCTGATTCAGCCAGTTTTGCCATTTTGAAGAGCACACTTCATTCTACAAAACAAGACGCTTTCCAGGATTTTACGATATTCCTTACGGATAGACAAAAAGAGAAAAAACGGTAATGTACAGACACTCCGGTAGCAGAATTACGGATTTTTCATATACAAGTCTTATTCGGAGAAAAAACGTTGAGCAAACAAATAACCTCTCTATGTTTGTAGATGACTTGAGTCTTAATTGAGTCATGTGTAGTTTTAAATGAAAAAAGTGAGCAAGAGTACGTCAAACGACATATGCCGAACTTTAAGAATACTAGTTCTCCATGCACACGATATCAGAGATGGGCAACTCCGGCTAAGTTCAACTCCAACTCAACTCCAACTCCGCAGATCCCAAGTCCAACTCTGTTTAAACTCCAATAGGACACATGTTAATATTGCTTTTATGTGACGTAACAAAAACAAAAAAAATTTTCAGAGTTGCAAAAATTTTTAACTGGAGTTGTGGAGCTGGAGTTGAAAAAATCTGAACTCAACTCAACTCTAATCTAATAAAAACGAAACTCCAACTCAACTCCAACTCCACTAAAAAGAAGCTCAACTCCGGAGTTGAAGTTGCCCATCTCTGCACGATACATTAGTTCAGATTTTTTGTAGGCACATTAAGTTTTAGTATTTTCTCTGTTTGGAAAAAACCGAATGATATTTTTGTTTATATGTCTATACTTTTTAGTACACCAGAAGAAGCAGTACAAACATTAGCTGATATACCAGATTTGTAAGTAGGAGAAAAGAATTTTGTGAGAACAATGAATAATTTGTCGTTCTATAGAGCTGTACAACGCTATGGTGAGCGTGAAACAATGGGTGTACGAGAAACAATTGATGTTGAAGATGAAACACAGCCAAATGGAAAAATATTTAAAAAAGTAGGTGTAACGTTTGTTTCACCTAGAAAAAATAGATCATCTTTGTACTCTATCCTCTGTATACAAATTTTTGATATATGCCTTGTGAGATTCTAATCTCTCACTACATGCTTTCGGCACACTAGTTTTCGATATCTATCTTACACAATAAAATGAGAGGATTTATATGTGTAGTCGATCTTTGTATTTTCTCTTTTTGTCTTTTGTAGTTTATACTTGGTGAATATAAATTTACGACGTACACTATATTACATGAACGTATCTTAGCTATTGGTCGTGGTCTATTAACATTGGGTGCACAACCTGTAAAAGATAAAATTTTAATATTTAGTGAAACGCGTTCAGAATGGTTACTGACAGCTTTTGCTGCATTTCGACATGGTTTAACTGTAGTTACATTGTATTCAACGTTAGGTGATGATGCTGTACGGCATGGTATCAGTGAATCAGAAGTTGAAATTATTGTAACATCAAATGATTTAATACCAAAATTAGAGGTATATAACGTACGCACGCTAGGGATACTTATGTTAGAGAATGTGACGTTGATTTCTGAGTCAATTTAGTTCTGCAGATGTTTTGAAGATTAACTGACGCTTCACGAAGAACTTTTTAACTGTTCAAGCGCTATTAAAGGGATCGAAGTATCCACGCAAAATTAAAAGCGTTTGAAATTCTAAATTTTTTTTATAAACACACGGGTGCAAGAAACTTAGTTATGAGTGTAGGACACTGTATCTGAAAATTTTGATCAAGAAGCCATTTACCTCTAGTAGCTTGCCATTCTGTGAAAAGTACAATGATCGTACAGTCTATATCCTGCTAAAGTTGGACTCTGCATTACTTTCGATCTGTTTCTTTGCTTTTAAATGGAAAGTTTTCAAAATTTGTAATTTACAGTGACAATATTTAGAAACTACTCTGAATGCGATTTTATTAGTAAAAATGTTGACAAAATGTTTTTGTTGTTGTCATTTTGTTAGAACATCCTTAAAATGACTCCAAAAGTACGGCACGTTATATTTTTTCCTGGTCATACAAAAACTAGTCAAGCAAATCCTAAAAATAACGACAATTTAAAATATTATCGTTTACAAGAATTAGAAGACAAAGGCAGACAGACACAAATTGGTAATGTATAATTGAGGAAAATAAATCAATTTTTTGAGTATATTTATCTATGTTTTTCTTCTTCAAAAGAGCATGAACTATTGAAAAAACGTCCAACAAAAGATGATATTGCTGTTATTATGTACACAAGTGGTAGTACTGGTACACCTAAAGGTAAGATAGCAGCATCTTCTTTCTTTTCTTGTCTCTTTCTATTTTATTTGTGCTTGTAGGTGTTTTATTAACACATGAAAATGTCTTAGCTGCAATGACCGGTCAAAAAGAACGTGTTTTTCCAATGGTTGATTTAAAGAATGATATTTATATTGCATATTTACCATTAGCACATATTTTAGAATTATCTTGTGGTAATTACTATTTTCATTTCACGTCGATTCTTACGTAGAACGACAGCGAGTCAAACTCGTTTGTTGTGCTAGCAAGCACACAGCAATTCTAGTCACTCAACTGAAATTTCTAGCTAAGAACGGTGAAGTGTTAAAAAAAGTGCAAAGCTATTGTTGTGCGTGGGAGAAACATTTACGAAACTGAAAGTAACACAAAAGTTGAGAGACAATGGCTAGAACCTATAAGATGGATCTCTCTAAAAGGCTAAAATTTTCAGACTCTCTAAGTTTTTCGATGCTCTAAGAATAGGCCAAGCCAGAACATTTCTTTCTTTCCCTCTATAATCAGGTAGTCACCGAAGAGTTTACAATAAGTTTTAAAAATCAGAATGACACATACTCTGTTTTTCACTATCGAAGTTCCATCCTACTTTTAATTTATGTGTTTTTGTCTATTTTTAGAACTATTAATCTATTATAGTGGTTTAAAATGTGGTTATAGTTCACCGCAAACATTAACAGATCAATCAACAGGTATAAAACGTGGACAAAAGGGTGATTTACAAGTGTTACGACCACATTTAATGTCTGTTGTACCGGTACGTAGATATCATGTGAATATGTGTGTGTGCACCAATGTAATTGAAAACTATAACTGAGTATCTGCGGGTAGTATGTATTGAAAGCGTCGAAAGAAAACATGTAAATAAATACCAGAAACTAAGAGAGCACAAAAACGTGAAAAACACAAAAAAGAAAGAAAAATATTGAAAAAGAAATGTCGAAAGAATGAATAATGATGAGAAAAACAGATGTATTGGTGATTAAAATTAACTATAAAAAAGTAACACAGTAAACCATCCCGAGTCAGTTGTCGATAACCGTCAACCGACGTTTGCGCGGCCGACATTTGAGCGACTCACATTACTTCGAACAGGATCATGACTCTTTCACGAATTTTTCGTAGTACAGATTTGGGTGTTTTTTGGCAGTGTGTCGTGGGAGGTGGGGTGTGGGCAGTATGAGAATGAATTCAAAAGTAGTTTCACACAAAATATATTTTCATCATGCAAAACTGTACATCTGTAACTGGATCAACTGGATGAAAATGACTATTCATCACCCAACTTCTGTCAGGTTTCATGTCGGTCACTCAACTGTCGATATCTTAAAATTTTCGACGTTTTATATGTTCTACATTTTTTTCTTCGACCAAAGTTGCTTCGGCAGTTATTTTTCGATATTTTTTCCTTCAAAATTTTTGCTTTCGACGTTTTCATATCCATTCCTGCGGGTTACCACTTTTTGCCTAGCTTATTTTATTCGAATAAAATGTAGTCTGAAACAAAAAACCTCCTTTATTTTTTGTTCTTTTTAAGGCAATATTAGATCGTATACACAAAGCGGTGAATATAAAAATAAATCAAGCAAATTTTATTCAACGTTATTTATTTCATTTATCATATAACATTAAAGTAAAACGTTTAGAACACGGTTTACAATCATCATATTTAGACAGGTATGTCATTGTCTATTTCTGTGAATGCGTCAAAACAATACGACACTGTGTCTCTCTGACCCTCTCTCTGTCTTTTAGATTCATATTTCATCGTTTTAATCAATTAATTTTGGGTGGACGTATGAAAAATATACTCTGTGGTGGTGCTCTGTTATCTGAAGAGACACAACGTTTTATAGAAACAGCACTTAGTGTAACACTATTTCAAGGTTATGGTTTAACAGAAACATGTGCTGCTGGAACAATTGCTGATCGTAAGACATTTTTTTTTGCTTTGGATTTTGAGCTAAGAGAGGGAGAGAAAGATTTTTTCCAGAAAATTACCAGAAGTGCTTAGAAAAAGTAAAGAAAAAGCTTTTTACTAACTAAAAAATGATTGCGAATCGTTTTTGTGCTCTCTTAGTTTCTGGTATTTATTTGATTGTTGCATAGTGTGATAGCCCGATCCGTAACCTTTTCACATGCGATATTAACTTTTATTTATTCTGTGTTATTTTCATCTATTTAAAAGATTTAATGTAAAATGTATCCATTGAAGGAGGGCGGGAGTCCCTCATTTAGATTTTGCTCTAACCTTTCCGGTTTGTAGAGAACACTTCGAAGTATATGTCTTCAAGTTTTTTCGGCTTACTGACATTATGCGGCGGAGAAAAAAATTAATTACTTAAAAAAATATTGTTAAATTTTTGAACAAGGGACTATTATTAAAAAAATTTCTGTCCATTCTACATTCACCATAAAGACTTGGTTATTGTCTAGATCGATAGAGAAATGTGTGGAGAATATTTTCTACGAGAAAATATGCAAAAAAGTTTTGTTCTTTCCCTCCTGTTATTGACTAATTAGTACTAATTAACGTTAATTTAGCCTACTCTACCAGCATAAACTTCCATTTGTAAAATAGTGACTCAACGAAAAAATTCAAACAATACTTCATCTGATACAGAGTTTCACGGGCTACAAGATGGACTACCTTAAAAATTTTAGAATTCATTTTTCGCCGTTTGATAAGTCTGTTAAGTCGAAAATTTGACAATATTATCTGAAGTAAATTTAATTTTTTTCTCAGCCAGATAATGTCAGTAAGCCGAAAAACTTTCAGGACATATACTTCGACTGCAGAATTCGATTCTGAACAACTTTTTATACTCAAATTTTTGCTTCAAAGCTTGATTCGAGCGAAACTGGCCGTAAGGTGAGGTGAAAAATACTTTTAACTCTGAAGTTTCCTCGGGAAGGTGAACGTTAAATTCCAAAGTCAAACTTCATTCGGGAACGATGGCAAGTATTTCTCTTTATACAAGTTAATGTTCTCTATTGAACTACGCTAGAATCAACTTTTTATATCTTAACATGAAGTTTTTATTAAAATTTTAAAAAAAGGATAAAGAACCCGCAAAAAAGTTAAAACTTTTTTTAATCAAAAACTATGGAGTAAACTGGGCAATTGGAAACTATTTTTGGCTCTTTGGACGTCTAATTCGTATAACTTTATTGATTTTAATTATCTTTTTGCGCTCTATTTACAGGTAGATAGAGGAGGAAGTTCTCTATAAGCCCATCTAAAAATTTTCAAAAAACTCCGTGTCCCAAGCGAACTTCTCGGTGTTTTGCTGAAAGCTCTAACGAACATTTTCAATTACCCCACTTGGGGCAATTGGAAACAGCAATAGAAATTGATGGGATAATTGGATACGCCATGTATTTCACACAGGAAATAATTTATTAGTAAAAAACAGTTTTCTCGTTAAGCTAATCATACTAATTAATGATTTTTGCACAGGTAAATAGACCAATTATTGCACTACAGATGGTGAGAATCTCCCAGCTTTACTCATTAATTAGCCTCAGGTCTAATTAAAAAGGTAAACGCTGAGAAATTTTCAAACGTTTCCGATTGAAATGGAAAGGACCATGTAAAATAGTTGGAAAGCTAGAAATCTCTTGGAAATCAGTTTCTAATCGAAGTACACCTCTCACAAAAATATTTGCGCTAATAAAAAGATACAGAATGTTCTCTTCTACAATCGCATCTCTCACTCGTTCTTATTGAGAAATAACGAAATAGGCGTGTTATATGAGACAGTTGGTCTAGGATATCTCGATAATCACACAACCAAACGTTATGAAGTTCGACGCTGAAGAGTTTCTCCTCCTATGTCCTCTTTCTTTTCTTCTCTAGAAAGTTTTCTCTAAAACTCTCGAAAGTAGGATTTTCTGGTTTTTTAGGTGACTTGTAGTTCTTAAAACGAATTTTAAAATCACTCTTAAGACATGAAACATTTTTAATGGCATATTTGGATTCAGCGTCTAAAGGCGAGTATTTGGAGCCATTTTGGTGATAAAAGACTTTTTCGATTCTTCTCAACGCCCGTTTTGTTAAATCAAAAAAACTATATTTAGAACAAAAGAGGAGTTTTACTCTTAAATGTATTTAAATGTGATTGATTCTCTGTTTTTCATTTCTTTACATCAGGCTATGATATATCAATTGGTCGTACTGGTTATCCGTTAATATCAACTGAATTACGTTTACAAAATTGGGATGAAGGACAATATCGTAATACGGATAGACCGAATCCACGTGGTGAAATTATATTAGGCGGTAAAATGGTTTCAGTAGGGTACTATGGTGATGCAGTAGAGAAAACAGATCATGATAATTTTAGAATAATTAATGGTACAAGATATTTCGCTACTGGTGATATTGGCGAAGTGTATCCAGATGGAACCGTTAAAATTATAGGTATGTGCAACTTTAGTCAACTCTAGCCACACTAATAAAATGATAGAAGAAAACGCTTCTGAAATGGTTTTAAATGAAGAGATTTTTAATTTTTTTAATTGCTCTTCATTTTTTCATCTGTCAAACTAAATGTATCTCTTTTTCAGACTTACACCATTGTTTCGTTTCTCGTTACGTCTTTCTGCAAAAGTTGTAGCACTCTGGCAAAATATCCAGATCTCGATCTACAGCCCTACACCATAGTGCAGAGGTCGAAAGCTACGTTTGACTTAGTGGATAGTTTGCAAAGCAAGTAAAAAGGATGCCGGAGCCCGGAGAGGGTCTTAGGAGAGATGGTAGCAATGGCAAGAGATTTACGTTTTAACTATCATTCATTTTTTGGGTGCTTCCACACTGGTAGGGTTCCCGATCAGGGAGCGGGGCATGGGGAGCCATCCCCCTTGAAAAAAATTTTGGACTTTCTCGCAAAATTTTCGACGCTTTTCCACCAGCAACTTTTTGCCAAAAAGTTCGAAAACTTTTTTTCGTCAGCCATTTTCTGCGAAGCAAGATTTTAAGGCCCACCCCTCCCTAAGAACAATCGGAAACCCTGCACGTAAGTCTGCCCACTTTATACAGAGCATCTTGCCGCGAAAATTTCACTTTTCGCATCGTGTAGAACATCAAAAATAATCTAAAAGTCTCGCTTATCCTTTTTTACAAAACGTGTGGAAAGTGGTTTTCTAGACACGTAAAGTTTTATGTGAGGGTGAAACCGAAATTGGTGAAAATGAGCGAAAAATTGCATCATTACACGTCAGATTGTAGCTTTTGACGAGCTGATTCTAATGATGAAGGAATTCTGGCTCCATCTAACTTTACGTTCGAGTGGTACTCAGTTTATCGGAAAAATTCCTGAAGTTTGACCTCCATTTTCTCCTAAACGCTCCGAAAATTTTTCGAGATTTTTTCAGAATAGGAACTACTTAGTAGGATCTATAACTTTGCCCATACAACTATCCTCGACACTTTCCATTTTTCACCTTCAGTTTTCCAGAAGATCCGTTAAAACCTTACTTCATGCAAAGAAAATTGAGCTATTATGACTATATTCCTGTTCGGCATGAAGAATTCAATGTACTTCAACGTTTTCTGAGGCTTCTTTGTGTTTCCGTACCACAGTTTTCTAAGAGGATTTCTGGAAAACTGAGGGTGGAAAGTGTCAAGCTTAGTTGTATGGGCAAAGTTATAGATCCTACTAAGTAGTTCCTATT